AGTGTGTGTGTGTGTGTGTGTGTGTGTGTGTGTGTGTGTGTGTGTGTGTGTGTATGTATGTCTGATCAATGCAAGTAACTGACAATTTTAAAAAGGTAACTACTCATTTAACAAACTTATTCTGTCTTTATGAGAGACCATTGATTATGAGGTGTTAAGAGAAAAAGTAAAGATTTGTTTCTTGCTCCAAACTACTTAATTTTTGTTTTTGATCATCTAACAATTTCTTCAACCCACACAATACTATGAATAACGGCTTCTGATTTTCTGAATAATGCTTGGAACGAGAATTTGCATATCGTGTCTGCTTAAATGATCACTTTAGCGTGGATCAGCGTAATACAACGACATTTGCGCGCCAAATTTTACATTTTGTTAGGTGTTGGGTGTGAAATGTTCCACGTAAGACGTGTGGTTGGAGAAGTACGTGATGTTACGTGCACAATACTAACACAATCCTGATTAGCAAATCGGCGGGCAGATTAAGTATTCCAAAATACTTTTAGGGGAAATTTGTACGATATATAGGAATTTTGGATAACTGGCAAAAACATTTCTAAATGCATTATACCTAACTATGTGTCATTGTTTCCTAGTAAGCAAAGGACCTTATCATTCCCGACATTTTGGACGTGTTTTTATTCTTGCTTGAGAAAGCTGCTATGTATGTCGGATACGTTTAAATATTAAGGCTTCTAGGCGGCATATGTTCGATGTAGACTTTTAATCCTATGTACCAACGTACATGTGCAACAATTCGCATGTTATCATTATTATTCGACTTGTCTAATTATGCATGTCTGTTTCGCTTGATTGCGGAATTCCCTATCGTCTATCGTTTTCATCAATGGGAGTCATCAGAGTGAATAATATGTATGACTTCAAAAGTGAATAATATGTATGATTTCAAATTGTTTATTGATTAAAACATATCGTCAATATCATTTCTGAATTTATCCTGTACCAGTTTTCAACTCTTTTTTTGCAGATGCACGGTTAAAACAAAAAAGAAAAAGAAATGTACTCACAACAAAAAAGTCAACAGACAGTAATCGATCTTAAACTTTGGATTTTCAAGGTTAATGGTTGTAGTTGTAGAATTTTTTGAAATTTCGAGTTTTTGAAATTATTCATGAGGATTGAAGTTTCGTTTCAGATATTTTGTAAGTGAATGACGGAACTGTTTTCAATTATTTTTTAATAATTATGACAAGATGCAAAAGTTTTTTCAAATTTATCATCATGGTAGTGAAGATGTTTAATGCATTTAAAAAATTTTTTGAGTCATGGTGAATATCGATTTAGCAAAAAAAATATAATATGTTACGGGACGTTAAAGTTAGGTTTTGCTCCAATGTAGCCATTAACATTTGAGGACTTGAAGTTTTTTGTTCTTTTAAGATTTGAAATTTCATTTGGAATGTTTTATTGGCATTTGAATACAAAGGTAGCTCACTGGTTAAATATCCATACATTAAGAAACTCCAAGAGTTTACGTTTCTAGGCTCATTACTGAGATAAATATTAGGTTGAATGTATTTGGTAACTAATGCCACTATTTAAGTTTAAGACAAGCAATATTTAACTTTTCAGTTTATCCGCAATGATAAGGATGAATTTGCTATATGCGTGGAAGGTTATCGAAAGAAAGACGTCGAAGAACGTGAACTGGAAAATTGGCGCAGTACAGCAATCCAGGAAAGATATAACTCAGTGACATTACTAACTATTAGCGGCTCCAAATATGTTTTACATGGAGTAATTGATCAAGATTCAGCATATGGACTTGGTATTGATGACAAATCATTATTATTTAGAGTGTTTTGTTATCGTTTATTTAGAATATTCTTAGAAATTTTTCTTTTTTTTTTTGAAATCCTCAAAAGCGACTTTTTTGAAGTACTCTTTACCAGTTTTTTTTTTTCCTAAACAGTGATATATAAAACTTCCATAATTTATTCAAATTTGTTTTCATAAAAAGACATGTTTTACAGTATTGCAACGTTTGTTTGCAACTCTATTAATATATTTCAACGTAGTGAAGAAATTAGTAAATGAGAATCTTATTTGTTTAGTTTTTTTTTTCTTTTTTTTTTTTGTAAGAATTGCTACCACTCTGGAGCATCAAATTGTTAATAATGGTGATAAATATAATGTCATTTGCCTAGACAGCTGCTTTCAGAGACCTCATTCTTCCATCTCTGAACTTATATATTTCTTCTAACATTTCTAAGACATTTTACGGTAGACGAGTCGTTCTGTAAAAATTTTCTTGTAGCATGAAACTTATTATTGATGCTATTACTTACAAATTCAGTGATATTTTAGATTTTCCAATAGTCACTGAGCATATTTTATGTTATCAATTTTGAACGCTGTGAATCTTTTTCCTTTTTGCAAAAGTGCTCTTTTTTGAAATAGTGCTCTTTTTCAGGATATCCAAAGACACTAATTGAAAGGTTCAAAGATGGTTTTCCATATGAATGGCGAGAACTTCTAGGCGATTATTACAGTAATGTGGTGAGGCCTAATAAACTTAATGTATCTCAAAGATTACATTCTGTGCTTCTCAGTGGTGTACTTCTAGATATATCCAAATGCTCACGTACCGATGGACGTCGCATACCAACGTTTAGAGACGGTAATTAAAGCAATTAATGTTGCAGACTTTTATATAATTAATTCCTTGCTTAAAATTGCTTGTGCTAAGAGTGAGTACATTTTTTAGTCTTCGGAAATAATTTCTGAGAAAGTGCATCCAATCTGAATCATCCGCTATCCAATTTTTCTTTTTAAATTTATAGTTTTTGGTGGACATGAAGTGTCATCACTTTCGAATAGTGATACGAAACACGCGAAATATTTGTTAATCAAAGAAAAAATTGTGGAGGAAGATGAAGAAATAAATAACGAACAACTCTTTGCATCCACCTCTTCTGATAAGTTCACAAATCCAGTCGGTGGATTCCCGAGAAATCTTGGCTCATCTATCGCATCTTCAAGTCATGATTCCACTAAACAAAAGTTGATTCTAAAATGTGAGAACCAGTTTATGTCAGTTAATGCTGGCAAACGTGCTACTGAGATGAAGATGTCTGATGAGAAAGCGATTTTTGAAGACAAACCGCAAGAAGATACGCTGTTTAAAATGCCGCTATTACCACTTCAGCGACGTCGTCCAAGTGAGTTGGGACGTAAATTTTACATGTGTAATATTCTTTCAGAAAAAATAGTTGCTTCTTAAAACTTTTTTATCGATATTGACATTTAACGCTGCCCAACAATGTTTCGTGTCGGAATTTTAGGAAGTGAGTTTCCGGATCCTGAACTTAAAATACATCTATGAATTAGCCAATTACTGTCTGCATGCGTTTTTCTTTGTTATTGAAATTCTTCCGGAAGCAAAATGACCAATAAAAAATGTTTTACTCCATATTTTCAGAAGCAGTAGATTTATATAACTGGACAATACGATTTTCTGCAAATGACTTAGGACATTCGAAGCTTTTCCCAAATTTCGCTTTTGTTATAGTTGGTTTTCGTCCGTAAGTTGCCTTAATTATTTGCTGTTTTTGTGTCGTTCTTTCCAACATGCTATTCTTGTCAATTTTCAATCGTTTGAATAAATGGAAACCAATATGCGCACATTGTGCTCAGGATCAAATCGTCAATATGCCAACTGTGTCTTCAAATCCATGTTTAGGGACAAAAAATTGGATTGGAAAACATCATGTATTGTTGCGGTGGAAGGTAATCGTTTGCTGCGAACTGAAACAGGTGCATATGAACTGATGGGACCGATCAATACAATATTAGCTTTGCAGCAAGGTAGTTTTTGTTGCTTTTGCTTCTGAATTGATTACGAAATAAGTATAATTAGCTTGTTATACTTTCATTTAAATTCTACATGTATAGTTTGATATTTGTTTGATATTCATAGCACTGAAGATGAAGATATGAAGTTGTCCCAAATTTGATTGAAATGTCACATTTTATGTATTGCTTTTTTCTGTATGATATCCCCTTATCAATTTGCTGATATAATGTTGAGAGAGGAGGCAAAAATAGATACTCTTGCATCAGTTGCACTTTTAGCCGAGAAGCTCTTCAATATGGGATTTATATTATTTTTCTTCAGGATTTCCGAGAGAGTTTGTGACACAATTCCTGAATGGATTTCCAAAAGATTGGCATCGTATCCTGTCACTGTTTTTCAGTACATACATGTAAGTTTTCTTGTTTCTTTTTTCGAGGATTATTACTTAACTGTTTGCAATAACAAATATGAATATTATGCTAACTTTTTCCGTCCTTATTTTTCGTCTCCAAGTGCCTACAACTGCTGCTGAATTTTTTCTTGAATTTTAGTAGGTAATTTTTCATGGTTACCACAAATTTCTCCTTTTGTGAAGAAATTTTTCCCTTTTCAAATTTTTTTAAAATTTGAGGATCAAATTTCAGTGAGCCGCAACTACCGCCGCAGCAATCGCTAACTATTTCTGAAATTCATGACGATGATGAAGTGGGAATTTTACATCGCCGTGGTTTTGAACCGAGTGTCAAAAAGTGTTTATCTGTTGATAGTGATTCTCAGAGTAGTGACTCTGATGGCTTATCTTATGAGGACAGCATCCCAAACTGTAGGGAGGATCTAAAGTCTACAAAATGTCCCACTTCGAAGAAATTTTTTCGATATCGAATTGAAGATTCATGTAAATTTTGGATCTCTTAAAATGTATTTTAACTGGTCGAACTGGAATTCTATATATGTCTCTTCATTCTTACGATTCAGATCGCGTAAAGACTGGAAAGCGAAGAGATAATAAGCATCGACAAAGCAAAGGTTTTATTTTCCCAGCAAAGCGAGTGAAGCATGAAGAAAAGGATGCAGGTAACTAATAACTTCATTAGGACGAAGTATTTGTCAACATGAGATAATTCTCCCAATCTATTTCTGTTTCATTTTCATCCTTCACGTTTTCCCATTCTATGCTCTTTTTTTTAACAGATTGAATGAGTTTAAAGCTAAATATTTCATATTTTAGGATAAATAGTAATACTTTACAGTGAGAAATTCTGCGGACCTTTTGCTGTTGAAAACGACTAGAAGCGGTCGTGCTATTAAACCACGCCTGGCGACGTGGACAGGACAACGAATTGTGTACAATGTTCATGGTTCACCAATAAAAGCTGTCGGTATTACAACAGATTCCATTTATTCGACAAGCACATCTGATATGGTGAACTTTTTCATTGGCTTGGAATCATTTTCATATAGTAATTGAATAAGAAAATTACTTGTTGATAGTGTGGGGGAATGTCTTTCAGTCCGTAATCAGCAATGAAAGAAATGGAATGAGCTACCCATGATTTACCTACTAATTTGATTTGATTTTCGGTGCAGAGAAATGCGATTAAAAGTAGAACAGCAAGAAACATTGAACCAGTTCCTTTCTAGACAGAATCCAATTGTAAATTTCAGAGCTCTTTATCAACTCTCCGTGAGATGAATTTACGAGAAATGCTGCAGAAAGAAGGCCGAAAACCTAGTTTTCACAATACCAACATTAAAAGTGTCCCTCTTGTTGCTTACAGCGACAGTAAAAGCTCTTCTTCCAATGATGATGATGATGATGATGATCGAAGACTGTCTCCGCTTATACCCCTAACGCCTTTTTGTGGAAAACGTGGACATGTATGTAAATCTTGATTTTTAAAGGTTGAAAGTTCTTTTTTTTCAATTTGATGTGCTGGAATTCTCTGAATTGCTTGTTTTTGACTAATGTATCTTTGCTGGTTGCATTCTTTCATCATTTTCAGCGCAGTTCACGCATGATTATATCTTCACCAGAGGAAGGCGTAAAAAGAAAGACGGCAAAAATACATAAATTACGTAAACACCGAATTAAAACTTCTAGGAATATTGTTCCGAAGCAGAAGAACAAGTCTATGAAAGGTACTTTTTTAAAAGCTAGAAACGGTTCACTTTTTATTTCTTTTCTTCTTTCGAATAACGGGATAGAAGGTTGCTAACACTATACATTATCTGATGAACTCTGCAGCACAAAGGAAGGATGACGACAAACAGCATAGCGTTAAGGAAACTGCACCGATTGTATCGTTCAGCGATGTGGAATCGGAGAACGGTATTGTGGAAAATGCAAAGGCGGGCAGAATTGCAAACAGCAATGTCACTGAAATGGTGAAAAAATGTCCAAGCGAAAAAATGGAAAGGGAATGATAATACCAGACTGAAAGTAAAATCTACTTATTGCAAATTATTCTGTGACCTGTTAAAAACTATATGCTCTGAAGTATTAAGTTTCATTTCCTATTTTATAAACTCGTAGTCATCGAAAAAATTTCTTTTTATGCAGTCACAGTGACGGAGAACAAATTAGTAAGAAGCCAAGCACCATTAAAGAAATGGAACCATCGTATAGTAAAAGTGATTTCGAAGGTTTTGACTAATTCATCATCAGTAATCTTAATATTTGTTTGATGTAGCAAATATGGCCGTGTTTTAGTTAGCAGTTCGTGCTATATGCCCACAAAACTGGGAAGACTGGGAAAATATTGCTGCATTGATGCGAACACATACGGCGGAAGAATGTCGTAGGCAAGCACTACAGGTTTTAAAACTGAATATTATTCCAAAAGAAAGTAAAACGATGGATGTACCAGCTGATGTGGTGGATGCGCTTAGAAAAACCAAAGTAAGTTATATCATTCTCATCGTAGTTGTAGATATCAGATCTGGTGACACTGAAATGTGCACATAGTGAATTCCTTATAGACAGTGAGTTTATAAAATTTTAGCTGGAGCAACTTTTTTATATTAATTTTAGTACCTTCGCTTCTTTCATTAAAATGTGAAAATGCATAATAGGTTGGCACGCTTGCATATCAAATCCAAGCGGATCGATTCACTCGGCAGTATCTGAAAGCAGGCAATGGTTCAGACTTTTTCGAAGAAACAATGGATATGGAACCGAGAGGAAGAAAAGTGGCAGTCAGTTCTTAATTTCCAGTAAATTCCAATTTTAGTTTAAGTCGTTTTGCTTTCGCTTTTTCGACATAACTTTCATGTGGATGTTCTCAATTATTTGAAGAGACCAATTACTGAATATTTCAGATGATGCCATCAGTGACAACTTTTGACTCCGATGACTCATTACTATCTGTCTTGCGTACACCAACACCAAAATCTGTCCGAAGGAATATACGTCGAAAAAAGTTAATTCGCATCCCTGAATCACCAGGTTGTTCAACACCGAGAAATTCGCCAAAGGATTCCTATGTTCCATTCAGACTTGATCCAGATGATGAAACTTACAGGTATGTTTGTATCTTTTTTTTCCGTTCCCTTGCCAGAATCCCTTAGCTACTATGAATAATATAAAAAACTTTCACGTCCGTATGTCCAAAATACGTAATTCAGTGTCCTGAAATGTGAAATTCGGCTTATATGAAAAAGCTATATAATCCGAATTGTATTATAGAAAAGCTAACAACGAATTCAGTACAGAAGAAAAAATATAGGACTACGAAATCGACTTTTTCTGGTTAAATCAGTTATAAAAATTTAGATTCCAATTTTGCAGAGAACAACAGTTACGCTATGTTCACAAAATGTTAAAAGCAAGGAATCAATACGGTAGAAGTCGTGCAAATGTAACAAAATCATCCATTTCGAAAGACTATCATTTACACGTGCCAATGGCTCAGTGTCACCAGAACGACAGTGACAAAGAATCAGAACCAGATGAATATTTTGAAGAGGAAGAGGATTGATGTCTCATTACTGCATTCATTAACTCTATTATAAATGACATGTTAAACACTTAGGAAATCGAAAGGCTACAACTTCCTGCATTTGCATCTTTTGTGAATTCATTAGGTAAAATTTCAAACCTTTTCAATCATCTTTTAATTAACAAGTTTCTGGATGAGGTCATCTACTGCATTTAAAAATATTTAAATTTGAATTTAGGACGTTTTTTTTGCAGAGAAGTCCTGTGTGTACAAACCCATACAAAAAAAAAAAAGAATAAAAATAAAAAAAAACTATCCAGCGCACACCGAATTCAAGTTTATGGAGAAGCTAAACCACAAAGACATACATTTACTTATGAACATTAACTTGCAACACAAATTATCAACATGGAGATTTTACAGCTGAACGAAAAACCCTTAAAAATCACTTCTAGAAGGGATTTTATAGCATAAATATGTTCAGTAGCAGGATGATCCTGAAAAAATGTATTTGATAATTCCGGAATCCTTTTTTACCTTAGTAATAAAAAGTACAACGCGATTACGCTAGAGAGGTTGCTAAAAGCAATGAATTCAAGATTTCAGTTTCAAAGCTTGATCAAAATCTATTTTTTTCGAAATACTGGAAGATATCTTGATGGAGAGAGAGGTATTTACTGTTGAATTTACTTGAAAGTTTAAATTGGAGATTGAGATGAAGAGGTCATTCAGTGAATGAGTACCATCCTCTCCTTACATTCAGAAAATTAAAAAATTAGCTGAAGGGAAAAGGAACTGTCGGTAAAAGAGAAATAAATTATAGTAAAATAATGAATGTTGCTTACACATGGAAAGTTTTACTTCTTTTTTTGAAAAGTCCTACTTTTCATGTTTGCTACTATAGTTTACGACAACATCTACCACAAATAGTACTTTATAAGATTATCCAATTTAATTAGAGATAAAACTCCGAAAGAACGGAAGTGAAGCATAACTTTCAAATGGCTAACAAAACGTATATAAAATTTGAGAGTTCCCGCAATGTACAAAATGTTTTGTGCGTAAAATGAAGACCAACATTATGGCTACGATTGAAAAAGTCAGTGTTCAACTTCCATTCCTGCTCTGCTCAATAAAACAGCATTTCGCAGAGGGGTTATATTAATCATGAACATCAGGATCAGATTGTAAATTTGTCTGGCTCCAACTCATTTCAATCTTTTCCCGCAGTATAAAAATCGAAGGATAAGTCATTGAATTTTGAGCCATGTATTTTGCTTTGGAAGTCCCGAAAACATCTCTTATTTTAGACATAACTAAAGACCCATACAGCAAATAAGAAATGTGAAGCTACGCACGACTGGAAATTCATCAGAAAAAGAACGATTCGTGTAAAACAGCATATATATAACAGGACGCGTATAAACAAATACTAAGCACATTGTAGTAAGCCTGTTCAAGTCGTACAATAGTCTAATAAAAGGTTCGTCCCCACCATAATGATTAGTGTAGCTGATTATGGTGCCATCAATCAGATGTGTTGAAATAAAGATATATGAAATCCCAATGAAGAAAGTATACAAGAGAGTGGCATATAAATCGTTTTTATATGGAATGGCTAATTTCCTAAAGCAAGAATTTGAGTAACATCAACTCTTCAAGTACTACTAATTGAATTAGGACCTTAGCAAAGCTCACTTCTAATACAGAAATATATTTACATGAGAGAGGAGGAGGAGGATTGTAGCATCTAGCTGGAAATCAGTAAGGGCGTGAAGGTATCTGCGGTCGATCTGGTATCCTCGGAGGTACACCGTTTTGAACCGCTGAATTGTTATGCACTCGACTGAAACAAAACAAAAGCTTATTAAAATACTTCGGGAGAAGTTTGAGACAACAAATGGTCCACTTCACATTTTCTATTTGAAATCAAACACTGCAATTAGCAAACCGCCTTTACTACTCTGCCCGACTGCACGACACATAGTATCTGTACCTGGAAACCATGCATTACGACGATTACGCAGGATATACGGCGTTATAACATAAATCATACATTTTCCATCTTCCTGTTTCGACAGCAAATTCACTATTTGTTAGTTTCGTTATGTCGTCGTTCACTAATTTCTGATAACACGGAATTAGTCAGCGAACTTCAGCCCGACAAATGTACGGAATTTCTCTAAGGAATACAAGAAGATTGGGGACTTCATACGTTACAATTTCACTATCTGTTAGTTTCGTTATGCCATCAGATTACTTATCCGTTGTAACTCCGATTACATCATTTAGACAGTAAAATCATTTAGAGAGTAAAACCCTGCTAGAATTTAGTGATAACTAAATTCCGACTAGATTATGCACTGTATTCTGGACCAGCAGCAAATTAAATAAACAATTTTCTAGGACTTCATGCAATATGCTTTAGTGGTGAAAAAGCGATTAAGTTACTGCTATTACAACAACAATTATTACACTGTACTCTAAACCAACGACAACAATACTATATGGTGTCAAATTAATAACTGAGTAAAAACAACACATAACATGCACTACTAATTCTTTATTGTAATAGCAGGCTCAAAAAATGCTAATCATTTTACCCTTCGGTGAGTTATTTTGGACGCCTAAATGATTTCAAAAATTCATATCATGAAAAACAATAAATGTTTAAGCAAATGAAACAAGCAAAGATATTAGTTCTTCAAACTCCCTATAACTATTAATTATCAGTTATGAAAAGGTAATCTATCATTAAGGACAAAATGCTTCTGCATATCTCGCATAATTGAGATGTGTATTAATTTATGTCATATGCACCATTTGACACTCGGCAAAAAATTTGCCGAGTGTTTTTGAAAAAAATTTCGAAAAAAAAGAAACATTAACTGTATGAAGAAAGATACGACCATGTATCACAATTCTCTCAATATAAAATTGGATTCGAAGGAATTTAGGGAGACTAATGTGAGACATTCCTCAGCAGCTATTTATGCTACAACGTGTTTTACAGTTAATACACTTACATGGGTAACAACGGAGCAGGAAGGCCACCCGGTGGTCCCGGTAGTGGTCGATTCGCAAGTGAAGATGTGCTCGGCACATTCCCCGTCAGTCGTGGTGGCATTGGAGCTGGACGCTGCGCAGTTAATCCACCACCCACTCCAGGTCGCGGTATCGGAGATGGTCCATTGGATCTAAAGTTGGAGTTTTTTTTTTTTTCGACGTCTTGAAAAACTGAACTCCTCTCCTCGTCAAAAAATGAAGCCTGTTGGACGAAATAACAAATATAAAGAGGGTTTCCCACTGAATCTATCCAAAGTTAACCACAGTTAGAATTACCCAGGTAAAATTTTCTTTAAGTGCAAAAAACAATTACCTCAGCCAATCACTTGCTACTGCAGGAGGTGCGTCAGTTGACATTGTAGACATATTCACTTCGCCAATAATTTTTAATGCTTCCTTGCAAGCATGATACATTCGGAACATTTCTTCTCGTTTTTGTGCTTCGAGCTGACTTTCTTCCATCAGTGAATCCTGGAAAAAATTCCAGTGGTTACGATGCAGTACTAAAAACAAAAAGATAGTAATCAAAAATAGGAGATAGCTCTCCAAAATAAATTTTATTCTAATCAGTAACAAAGAAGAACGGAACATTCTCATTTTGTTCATTTTGCTGGTTTATCCGAGAATTAGGAAAAATATGAATGAAATTAGGAAAAAGACTGACTGTATCACCAAGCTGATAAAGATTAGCCAAAAGATCACCATCACGCAAAAATTCACTAACCTGGAAAATAACTCATGAATTGAAAAATGAACAATCAGAACAAACTTGATTTTATTCTCGTCAATTTGTGTTCTTCTTTCAGTGTAAGCTTAGTTCGGAATAACTGATATGAACTATTCCACTTGTGGTAATGACGGAAACTTTTTCAGCATATTTAATATTGCTTCTCAATAATTCTTAATTATGCCTATTTCTGTTTCGCTATAAGCTGTTTATACCAATTTTTGTACAAGAAAATTTTAGTCAATAGACGACCCTACTTTATTAACAATCAGAAACATAATTGCTTTCGGCACAAGATCTCGTATTGTTTTTGTAACAATTCGCATATAAGAGTCAACCAAATTACGAATTGTTTCCACTTGGCGTTCAAGCTGTGGATCCACTGATGATTCTTCAATTGCCGTAACGCTCTGTCAAAACAATATCTTATCCAAAAAAAGTGAAGAAAACTTCAAGGAAAAAAATGTATATATACGAATTTTATATCTGTATCAGACAATACCTATTAAAACAGCGTGAAACTTTAAACGAAAATTTGAAAATTGAAAACCTTACCTCACCATCCTCGGCTGGCTTCTCCTTTTCTGGATAAACACCAGCACGAAGAAATGATGCCTTCCAGGCATCTACTTCATCCAAATTGCTAGCGCTTAGTTCCAATTGTTTGTAATCCTTGTAGATATTCCTGGCAAATATAACATAATTTGTATCACTCTTGCTCGGAAATATTAGCTATGTACATGCTTATGACTCATGCAGTTAGTAGAACCATATCATTTTCGAGGTCATAATGCTGATACAGAAGAGTCCGTCAAGCTCCATAAACGTCAAAAAATAAAAAAAAGGAATCGCAGTGCCAAAGTAGTGGAAAAAAAAACTTGTTCAGCTAATCCGTTCATATTACCCATTATCTAACAACATCGGCTTTATTCTGTACTATTTAACTTTCGACAAAAGATCGACCACAGACAAAAATTTGAAGCTACTTTTTTCAGTCCAAACATCTAGTAAGCAAGCATTACCAATACATTTTTTTTTTCTTTTTTTGCTTCCCACTGTTACAATCTTCCATAGTGAGCTTCTGCTGATATAACTATTGCTATTATTGAAATTATAACACCGAATCAATGGTAGGAGCTATTCCGCCCTCACTTCTCGTTCTTGTACATTTCCAGACTTCCACGGCGCGTAAAGAATTAAATCAACTGAGAATGAACATCATCATGTTCTTTCAAGTGCCGATACCATATACATTAGGATTTCACTATACTATACACGACACGCCAAGAGAACAAAAGCATCTAAGGCAAAAGCTGTTAATTTTATGCGAAAATTGTTGCTAACT